TACTAAAATGATGTAATTCTCTCAAAGAAAAAACAAAAGCAGGGATTGAAGTTTCAGGACTCTAACCATATAGTCTAATATCTTTATTTTTATCACCCTTTAAAATATTTCCCTTCACAAAATATGTCCTCTCTCTCACTCAGATCCAAGCTTTGCTCAGTTTAGCTGAATCATGAGGAAACATTTATGTAAAGTGGAGATCCCGCCCTTAAAATCTTCTACCCAAGATTTCTCAAACTTGTTTCTCAAAAGTGTCTCTAGCAACAAGAAACAGAATCTGTACCTACAGAGATTAAAGGGTGGGGCCATGTCTACTTTCTAGAGCTAACATATGCTGCCAATCATCCTCTTTTTGCTTGAGGAAGGTTGTCGCTGAGCTAACATCCGTGCCAATCTTCCTCTATTTTATGTGGGATGCCACCACAGTGTGGCTTGACAAGTGGTGCTAGGTCCACACCCGGGATCCGAACCTGGAAACCCCATGCAGCCAAAGCAGAGAGTGCGAACTTGACCACTACACCACTGGGCTGGCCCCTTCTCCATCCTTTTTGTGTCTAGCAATATCCCCTGCATCTATCTAGACCCACCATTCTGAGGCCTTCTCCTAAGTCTCACGAGTATAGAACATTTTTTATCTTGTCATTTTGATCAAATTGATTTGATGTCACATATATTAGTTATCTATTGCTGTATAACAAATTACCCCCAAAACTTAGTGGCTTAAAGCCACAAACATTTATCATTTCATACAGTTCTTGAGGGTCAGGAATTGGGAAGCAGTTCAGCTGGGTGATTCTGGCTCAGGCTCTCTCACGAGGTTACAGTCAAGATGTTAGCCAGGGCTGCAGTCATCTGAAGGTTTGACTGGGGCTGGAGGACCTGCTTTTAAGATGACTCAGCCACGTGGCTATCAGCAGGAATCCTGAGTTCCTCACTGGCTGTTGGCAGAAGGCCTCAGTTACTCACCACCTAGGGCCTTTTCACTGTTTCTTGAGCATCATCACAACAGGGCATCTAGCTTCCCCATGAGAGAGTGATCCAAGAAACACAAGGCATGCAACCAAAATGGAAGCTACAACGTATTTTATCATCAAACCTGAGAAATGATATAACATCTGCATTCTATTGGTTATACAGAGCAACCCTAGTACAATGTGGGAGGGGACTATATAAAAGCGTGAATACCAGGAGGTGGGGATCATTGCGAGCCATCTTGGTGGCTGCTACCTCACCAAGGAAGTTTTGCTTCCATAATTATGAATTAAAGTGTTTATATCAGACTTACACTAACATTGATACATTTTTTTATATGATGATGTTCAAATGTCAGTGCACTAAACTTATTTCTCTTGTATACCTTTTTCTTTTTTTTTTTTTTGTTTGGTCCTGAGCTAACATCTATTGCCAGTCTTCCTCTTTTTTAAAAAATTTTCTCCCCAGAGCCCCAGTACATAGTTGTATATTCTAGTTGTAAGTCATTCTTGTTCTTCTGTGTGGCATGCCACCACAGCATGGCTTGATGAGCTGTGCACAGGTCCACACCCAGGGTCCAAACTGGCAAACCCTGGGCCACTGAAGTGGAGCACATGAACTTAATCACCTGGCCATGGGGCCAGCCCCTGATACTTTTATTTTTTTGAGCAAGACTAGCCCTGAGCTAACATCCACCACCAATCCTCCTCTTTTTGCTGAGGAAGATTGGCCTTGAGCTAACTTCTGTGTCCATCTTCCTCTATTTTATATGTGGGATACCACCACAGCATGGCTTTGATAAGTGGTGCGTGGGTCTGTGCCTGGATCTGAACCAGCAAACCCTGGGCTGCCAAAGCAGAGTGCACAAACTGAACAGCTATGCCACGGGGCCAGCCCCCTGATACATTTTTTTTCACAGAGCATTCTCTGGAGAGAACTCCATCAAGCCAATTTAATTCCTTGATCAATTTTCTATATAGCACAAGTAGCCTACTTCTAATCATTTGCATTTTCATTTTTTATTGCTTACTTAATGTATTTTTATGTCTTTTTTTCACATTTATTTCATAACTAAAATTTTATTGCTCAGTTTTACCATGTGTTTTTTGCTAATTAGTTTTACTATCATGAGTTTTGTTTTATTTTTGGGCCCATTATATCCACTAAGTCAAATTTTCCAAAGCTAAATTTTGCAGATGTAAGTTTGGTGAAGAAGACTTGATTTTCTATCTGTATTTATCTATAAACCAAACTTTTTTATTTTGAAAAATTCTAACTGTAGTTAAGTTTCATTTAATGGTAATTATTTCCTTCTCCAACTTTTCTCATGAGTTGGATTAAAGACCAATACTTGGTGGTTATTCCTTAGTTATTTTATAAGGCATTTGCAAGTCATTTCAGATAGTTTGGAATTGCTCTACTGTCCAGTCGGGTCCTGTCACAGATCTCACTGACCTTGTTCTCCTCCAGCTTTCTCTGCACAGGTTCTAACTGCCTACATCGTTGCTGAAGGAATATGTGAACAATATCCCTGGCATCAAAACACAAAGGGCTCAAGTGTTCCCCAGGGGTTAAAGTGAACCACTTCACCTCGTCTTCTGCTCGTCCTAAGGGTGACTTCATCCGCTCTTCCACCTGACCCCTGACCCACTGAAAATCAGAAAGTTGTTGACACTTTCGTGACCTTTAATCAAATTAGGGATCCCATCATGTTCAAAGAAAATTGGGTTTTTTTTTTTTTTTGAGGAAGATTAGCCCTGAGCTAACTACTGCCAATACTCCTCTTTTCGCTGAGGAAGACTGGCCCTGAGCTGACATCCGTGCCCATCTTCCTCTACTTTATATGTGGGACGCCTACCACAGCATGGCTCGCCAAGCGGTGCCATGTGCGCACCCAGGATCCCAACTGGCGAACCCCGGACCTCCGAAGCAGAACGTGTGCACTTAACCGCTGCACCACTGGGCCAGCCCAAAAATTGGCTTCTTGAGGGAAAAAAATTATTGGCCTCTTCCCCCCTTAAAGTTTTTTGAGTCTGGGTCCTGGAACCAAGTAGTCCCCTTAATATGTGTTAACTGAATAAATGAACAAATGAATTAATCAATTTAAAAAACATGGTTAATTCCTGAGCTCCATGAGTTACACCGGTGGCAGAAATCTACTGAAACTCTATAATTTTGGTCTGTAAGCAACCCCCTTGTTGAATTCCTGAGAAACTCTTGACACACGTCATTTAACATTGTCATGCTCCAATGAGATTACTAGATTATTTCTCCCTCAAAATGGGATATTGCAAAATAATGGTTCCCTGTGCTTTCTTCTAATCCATTTATACAACTGATGGTCCACGAATTTTCAATACTTCACATATAGGATAATACAAAGGCCAACCATGATCCCCTCTCACACCTTCTTAGAGAATTTGCTTCACCCAGAAATCTATCAGCTTGTTTTGTGATATGTGCCAAAACCCCTTTTCCTCTCTCCCTCCCCATAGGGAACCCTTTTATAGGCTGGAATGAACCATTCAGATTCTTCCTCTTAAAGGGTTAAGCTAAGAAACCTAGACTGAGCTGTATGATCTGTGAAAGAAAAACCAGAGCTGGACAGTAGCTAAAAACAGACTTTATTCAGGAACTATTGCAAGAGGGGGAAAGAGACCTCAATAGAACTGAGCTCAGTTCCCAGTACTGCATGGACAAGTGGGAATTTATAGCCAAGCACCACGGTGGAGGTCAGTGGGTGGAATATTACTAAGAGGAAACATCAGCGGTAAGGAGGGTTCTGGCTAAACCACCTTGACAGGATTCTTGCTGAAGGCAGGCCAAGGTGATCAGACATAACCTGCAGGGTGGCAAATTTGATTAGATATCAAGAGTGAACAGATATTGAGAGCGGAAGATTCTTTTTAAACTGACTTAACAGGATTCTTGCTGAAACTGGGTGATGCAGCTCTAACAAGGATGGACATGAAGCCTAAGATTGAAGTCTAGTTGAGAAGAGGGCTGAGAGGAGCCTGACTAAAGTTTGGTGAAGAGGAGCTTTGTAAGGTCCTGGCATTGGAGAATCTTGAGCTAAGTAGTAATGTGCTTTGGTCAGTGTTTCAGGGAGATGAATGGAGGTGAGCTGTGTCCAGGGAAGGGAGGAAAGCATGAGACTCGTTTGGAGGTCGTCTATCATAACCTGGGAGAGAGGTAAGGATAGCCATCGGGTAGCTGCTGTGGAAATAAATAGAAAAAGGACTCGGCAGCTGGACAAAAGAGGATGTTTGTAGAAATAGGAACAATTGAAGACGTAGGAGTTCCATCTGGGTAACTGGGAGGACACTGATGCTGAGTCTAGATGTTCAGCAGACAACTCAAAATTGGGAATTCAGATAAGACTTCTTTTGGGAACTAATATTAGATTTTTAAAAAATTATATTAACAGTTTGGTAGAAAAGCAATACAATGATATTGCTAAAGAGCATAAGAGAAAGAAAAAAAACACGACTTAGAATTCCACTGTTCCTATTTTGATGTTTTTTTCTGCTTTAAAAAAAGTTTGTGCTGTTAGATTGTTTTTAACTAAAAAACTTAATTTTGGGTAAGTCAATATCTCTTAGTCTGGGGCTCCTGAAAGGAAGGCTTTCGGAGATGTGTTGGGTAAGTATTTGCTCATAAATAGTGGCTGGATTCATGGTCGGGAACACTAAGACTGAACGTATATTGACAAGAGGTGGTTTCCTTTAAACTGAATGTGGAACAGGTATTTTGTTCTGCTTTAATAAGAAAGTAAGGAACAAGAGAGCAACTGACAGGTGAGGCAACTTCTTCCAGAGATGTCTGGATCCTGAAGTCCCTGAAACTCACCGGAGAGTAACCCCAGGCAGGCCAGAACTAGCTATTGCGCGTGCGCAGTAGAACAGCCGCAGCCGCCTCGCCGTCCGCGTGCTGGCCCCGCCCCGGCCTCTCTCAGCTCTCGACCCCCAATTCCGGGGGGAAGGTGTTACCGCGATACTGGTCCGATTTGTTTCCTTCCGCCCTCCATTGCTTTCTCCTCGGCCATGGCGTCCGGGTTGGTGAGGTTGCTGCTGCCGGCGCCTCGCCTCCTCCTGAGTCCGGCCGCCCCCGCACTCGCCCCACCGGTTCGGGGAGTGAAGAAGGGATTCCGCGCCGCCTTCCGCTTCCAGAAGGAGTTAGAGCGGTGGCGCCTCCTCCGGTGCCCTCCGCCGCCGGTGCGCCGGTAGGAGCGGCCGCGGGCAGGGGTCGGGCTGGGTCGGGGACGCGGAGCGCCTCCCCGATGGCTTCGGTACGGCGGCGCGAGGGCTGCTCGTCGCTCATGTGCGCTGGGCTCGTGCTCGGGAGTTTTGCGATATAGACCCGCGTGGGCCGGGGACGCAGGCCCCGGGGTAAAGGAAGTGGATTTCTGCCGCCGGGTTGAGCCCCCGACCCCTCGGACTCCCGTTTAGAATCCCATCAACGGAGAGTTGCGAGCAAGGAGGCCACCCGGAGGGTAACCTTTAGGGGGCTTGGGTGTTGTAGCCCCCATTTTGCAATACCCGAGCAGTCTTTGGGTCCGGGTGAGAGGGAAGAAAGCGTGTCTTTGACCTGTAGTCGTGGCAGAATGGATGCACCTCAGACTTCTATGGCTCCATTTATGGGTACATTTTTGAATTCCATATTATTGCTATTACAGCGAATAACAGTGATTGCTTTGAAGTTATTTCTCCTTTGGAAATTTAGTATGAAATTTTGGTAACTAATATTTGCCCCCCCAAAAAAACGATCCAGTTTATATACCTACCAATGGGAATGTACGTGTTCATGTTCCTATACTCTTGGAACACAGAATATTAACTTCTTTTCCTAATAGGCAAAAAATAGCATTTTTTCTTAATTCACATTTCTTTGATTGTAAGGTGAGTCATCCTAGGCTTTTATATATATGTGTGTGTGTGTATGTATGTGTGTATATATATAAAATCTGTAATTTAGATTATATGTGTCTTATGACATACTACCCAGATCTTTATACTTTACTGACCTTTTTTAGTTGAGAGTTTTATTTTGGGTTTGTTGTCTTTCTTTAAAAAAGGCCTTTTAGTCATTCTTGGGGATGATTATGAACTTTTAACCTACTTATAATATTGATACTAGATTATTTAATAGTGAATTTAAATGGATGTTTTCAAAACTTACATCGATAAAATACACGATAAATATAGTACAGGCATACCTCATTTTATTGCGTTTCGCAGATGCTGTCTTTTTTACAGGACCTTCCACCAGCAAAAAGATTACCGCTCACTAAAGGCTCAGATGATTGTTAGCAGTTTTTAGCAATAAACTATTTTGAAATTAAGGCATATACATTATTTTTTTAGACATAATGCTGTGGCACACTTAATAGACTACAGTAGAGTGTAAACATAACTTTCATATGCACTAGGAAACCAAAAATCCGTGTGACTTGCTTTATCGCATTATTCATCTTATTGCAGTGGTCTGGAACTGAACCTGGAACATCTCCGGGGTATGCCTGTACTTATCGTTTATGCCTTGAACCTGTGAAATGATGTTTTATTTCATACTCAGGTATAAAGCATAGTTCCATGGTTAGAGCAGAAATTGGGAACCTAATAGTTAGGATGATGGTTTAGTCTCTGATGTTGAAGAGCAGCTGTAATGTGGCAGTTGGCTCAGAGGGAAACTTAATCCAGCGGTGTATGCAGCGAAGAACCAGAAGTAATCATCTGAGTTTTAACTTATTGAAAATCAAAGCCTGGCATTAAAATGAAACTCAAGTCTGTATTTCCTCTGTATAATTAAAATTGTATCACAATGAAGAATGTTTGCATCATAGTAACATCTTGTTATTCTCCACACCATCTCTTAGTGTCTTCCGTTTTACATTTTCAGTTCAGAGAAGCCCAATTGGGACTACCATGCTGAAATACAAGCATTTGGACACCGGTTACAGGAAACCTTCTCCTTAGATCTTCTCAAAACTGCATTTGTTAATAGCTGCTACATTAAAAGTGAGGAGGCCAAGCGTGAAAAACTTGGAATCGAGAAAGAAGCTGTTCTTCTGAATCTTGAAGATAATCGAGAACTATCTGAACAAGGGTCATCTTTTTCACAAACTTGCCTCACGCAGTTTCTTGAGGAGGCGTTCCCAGACTTGCCCACTGAAGGCCTTCAGAGTCTTGTTGGCTTTCTCACGGGTGAAGAAGTGGTGTGTCATGTGGCTAGAAACTTGGCTGTGGAGCAGTTAACGCTGAGTGCAGAGTTTCCCGTCCCCCCGACCGTGTTACAGCGGACTTTCTTTGCGGTAGTTGGAGCCCTGCTGCAGAGCAGTGGCGCCGCGAGGGCTGCACTCTTCATCAGGGTAGGTAGTTATTAATTACACGTGCTGGGACGCACTTGATGTGCACAGAAGGCAAATTTTTGGTAATTCATTTCTTATGTGACCTTGGAAGAATATGTGTGAATAATTCTACCTGCAAAAATCTGAGAACGACCTAAAGATTTTTTGTCGATGGTGTCTTAATGATTCTAGTTGTCTCTTATTGAGGACATTCTCAGAGATGAATATTAAATTCCTGGTTGTGCGTTTGTAAGGACTGCGAGCCGTGTCTTTAGCTTTATGTTCTTTGGTCCACAGATAGTGCCTCCATGGTAGATGCTCGGTGGGTGTTTAGTGAAGAAATGAAGCTGGAGGGCACATTCGAGGGCCCAGTGCAGTTAGGGAGCTTCGTGCTTAAGTACCAGCTGCTGCTCTGCTCTTACAGGTGATAAAATGTTGGATTTCTGAGTCCCCGTGATGTACATCTAACTCCTTGTTAGCCAGTAGCTTAGGTAATTAAAGTACTTTTATAATTGGTATAACTTGTCTTCCCCTGTCCTGTTAGAATTTGTCAACTGGGCGAATTTTTATCCTCTGCATTGGATGAAAACACGAGTTTTTGGTCACTCTTATGTAATGGAAAGTCACACACTCACTTTGTCACAAAAACAGTCTTCATCCAAACATTTGACTGTTGGGTCCTTTAAACCAGCATCCCTTGCTGTGGGAATTTGTTCATTTAGTTTTGATACTGAGGTCGATAGTTTGACAGAGAAGGATACCTGTATTAACGAGCACTCAGGCTTCCTTCATAGGTAAGGCTGTCTTCCTCCTAACCCGGGTAGGGCCTGTATTCGGTGGGCTGTGTGTCTGCCCTTGGGAAGCAGGTATGTCACCTGACCCCTCTGGAGAGGGAGCTCAGGGAATGAGGAGAAGGGAGAGCAGAAGCTTTGACTTGACCTGATGGCTGTATGCAGGTTTAGTGCTTTCTGAGCCTGGTTGATGTTTAAAACAGATTCTGCTGGGCACTCTGTCCCCTGCTGGAACCTGCGAGCCATGTCCCTTGACATGGATCTTGGCTACTCCTTCCATTCTCAGCTTCCAGTTTCCTGGATAGGATTCCTTTAAAAGTGACATCCCTTCTTGGAGTTCCACATCAGCTCTCAAGGGTTTTTATATCCTTGACATCAGTTGCAGACTTGTACCCCACTACTACAGGCAGCTTCTGCCGGCCTGTTTCCTTTAAGCAAGGAATGCGTGTTGGCTTCCCGTTGACTGTACATCCCTTGCCCCAGATTCAGAGGCCACTGGACGCTTTAAAGCCCTCTGGGCCTGAGGTGAAAAGGAAAGCCTTCTCCCTGACCCCCCAGTTAAGTAGCTTTTTCTAAAGCAGAGTCCTCCCTTGATTTCCATTCTCTTTATCCTTGTAACTTCCGTGGAGTCTTAGAAGCAGCGTCTAAACAATTTTTGGTCACCTATTTGAAACTTTCACAAGGTAGTCATGAGACTCTTTTGGAAATAATTGTTTACCATATTTTGGTGCCTCTGTTGACAGTTCCAATTATATATGAGATAGATCATTCAAATATCTAAGTCAGGAGCTTTCATGTCCTATTACTGCATCTCCCATACTGGAACTGACAGGTTTGAACTGTCTTATTTCATTCATTTGTCCACTTGACATTTGTTGTCTACTGGGTGCCAGGCACTGCTCAGCACTGGATCCATAGCTAAATAGGGTGTGATCTTTGCCTTCAGGGTCCTACTCACAGCTAATGGGCGGATGGAGTGGAGTGTGTGAGGTGCTCTCATAGACATTATAAAGGTGCAGAGGGAAGTCAGCAGAGGTGTCAACCAACTCTAATAGGGTTAAGGAATGTTCTACAGAAATGACACTTGCCCCTAAAAAAGACATTCCGGAAAGAAGCCTTGAGGACAAGCTTGTGCTTCGGGGAACTGCAGGTCATTTTGTGTGGCCACATCATATTGTATCTGGGGAAGTGGGAGATGAGTGTGGACCTTTAAGAGCCAGTGTAGGGATGCTCTTTTAAAGTGGAGCTCCTTAGAAAGTGGTTTGGGTCAATAGTATTAGCATCACTGAGAACTTGATAGAAATGCAGATTCAGGCACTACTTCAGACTACAGAATCGGAGTCTCTGGGAGTAGGGCTCAGGAAGCTGCTGTACCCAGCTCTCCAGGTGATGTTCCTGCAGCCGGAAATTTGAGCAGCACTCTTCGTAGCCGTGCTAAGGAGTATGCATTTGATTGTCTTGTAAAGCCTAATGTAGTGGCAGCTGGAGGAGTTTCAACTGGGAAATCTCCATGATCAAATGTGTATTTTAGAAACATTTCTTCCTACTGCCTCCCTTTTCTGGGGAGATGAGATTGGAGTATTCAACTCACACCCTACTGAAAGTTCTAATAATAAACTAATAAGAACAGGAACCAATAGTTAAAAATAGAACGAGGCATAAGTAATCACCCCAGAAAATTGAGATTTCTTTCTGTATTCCTACTAATATCTTAGGCATTAGAATTGTTGTTCCTTACTCTATAATTGGTTATTCTGTATGGCAAATAACAATCCAGTGATCCATACATAGGTGAATAACCATCTTTGTCTCATAAGGCATCTCTATCTCTATACATTAAAAAATTCAAAATCCCCACCTGAGAATGGACTTATAAAAGCTTGTTATTAACGAAGCTGAAGTAGACTTCCGCTACTTGGGGAAGTCTTGTAATGAAATTGACCCTGTTTCGTGAACTAAGGGATCTTTGCTTTTTTAATTTCTCCCCTCCTGCTCCCATTTGCCCATCCTGTTATTGTATACTGTATTTTTTAACGTGAGTAATTGCAATATGCTGTTGTAAAAATTAGTGTTTCTTCCCATATTCTCTGTACAACGTAATTTTTTTTACTGGCAAAATGAATTCTTTTCTGCTTTGGATGTTCATAATTTATTTCTCAGTTTTCTCAGTCTTATAAGTTGACACTCTTATCAAGTCATGAACAGTTTTAAAAGGCAGTTAATATGAAATTATTTAAAAGATCTTTTTAAATCATGAATTTAGTCAATGAAGTAGCATTATCTAGAGGTCCTTAGTGTCTTTTTACAAGAGTTTCTGCCAGAAGTTATTACGGTTTATTCACTGTCACCTCATTTTAAAGATATTTTTCTTACTCATAAGAATATATTTCTAAATTATGAGATTGGATTTCACCTTCAACTATGATTTTTTTTTTAATAAAAGTTTTATGAAAAAACTATATGGGAATGAAAAAGAATAATACATTATGTCTTTCATTTCCCAATAAGTTTTTAATTTTGGTTAAAAGTGTACTTTGAATTCTGGTCCTTACTTTCTTTATACTAATTTAAATGTATAAATTGTATTTTCATATGCAGGACTTCTTAATTACTCAAATGACTGGAAAAGAACTCTTTGAGATTTGGAAGATAATAAATCCCATGGGGCTGCTGGTAGAAGAACTGAAGAAAAGGAATATTCCAGCTCCTGAATCTCGGCTAACGAGGCAGTCTGGGAGCACCACAGCTTTGCCTTTGTATTTTGTTGGCTTATATTGGTTAGTAAAATTTTAATCTTAACTTCACAACATTGATTAGAAGCCTTAAAAACTGACTTTTCACAATCCTATACAACCTCTGATTGCATTAAGATTTTTAAAAATCTCATTCCCACGATTATGTATTTACTCTGTCCTTCCCTACTCATCATTCTTAGGGGAAGGTAAGTAGTCTATGGTTTGCTAATAGCAGCTTTTGTTAACCAGCTATTCACTGTAGAATTTCATGAAGTATATGTTAATCTAAATATTTCTGTAGAAAAATAAAAGTTTCGATCTGTAAGTGTTACAGATTTTAACCCTAATGCACACTTGTATTGGTTCAACTGACCGTAGAGCTGGAAAAGAAAGGGTTTAGTTGTCTATCAAAATGTATATTGATTTCAGGTGGATTGAAGTGGTAAATGTACACAGTGAGTATCTCAGATAACTAGATTAAAATTTAGGTAAATATTTTTCTAATCTTTATATGCTGTAGGACTTTATAGGTCTATGAGCAGTGGAAGACATCTCAAAGGAGAAAATGGATAGTGTTGTAAAAAGTTTCAACTTTAATTTTAATTGAAGTGCAAACTACAACCATGAGATATGCTTTTGTTTATCAGATTGGCAAACCTTAAACACATCCTTTATCAGTGGTTCATCTACTGCTGGTAGGAAGGAAAAAATGGTACAGTATTTCTGTTACTTCTGGTGTGAATATTATTGCCAAAATAAGATTTAGAAGATAAAAAGGGTTTGTGGACTGTGTTTTGTGATGCACCATGTGATTGCAGACTGCTCTTGTTTTTTCCAGTGATAAAAAGTTGATTGCAGAAGGCCCTGGGGAGACAGTGCTGGTTGCGGAAGAAGAAGCTGCTCGCGTGGCGCTTCGGAAACTCTATGGGTTCGCTGAGAATAGACGGCCCTGGGACTATTCCAAGCCCAAAGAGGGTGTGAGAGCTGGAAAGGCTGCCGCTGCCAGCTAACCAGCCAAAGACGTGGCAGCCTGAAATTTGTGAGCAGGACAATGAGACAAGTGTCAGAGATGTTCAAAGCTGGACATTTTTCAAATTGTAAAGAAATATGTCTAATTCCTCATACTGAGTTCCGAGTTCCTAAAATTAAGTAAGTATCCATCAGATCACTTTTTTTTTCTTTTTAGCTATTTTTGTTTTATCAAAAGTCTTTTTTGATGTTTTTCCAATGAACTTTTCCTAAAGTCTCTGATTTTATTATTGTGTATAACTTGTACAGTTAGGTGTATTTTATTCCCTTCTGGCTTTCAGGTACCATAATTTGTATGTTTTATGAACTTTGCTGTAATACCAATAAAAAAGTTACTCTTTCTCTAAATATTTCGTTATAGTTTAATTGGATATATCCAGATTAGTGAATTTTTGCCTTTTTAATATAATTTTATCTAAAATAGTAACGTTATAACTCTTAACCTTTAGAAATGTAAGATGCAGATTGTAACAATTAGGTATTTACATGATCTCTACATTCTGTCTAGGTTTAAAATTCTGTATACTAACTCATTTCATAGTTATTCAGTTTCCGTAAAACAAATAAATGACAGTAAAGGTAAGTTTTATGCTTTTAGAAGAAAACATTAAAAAAGCAGCCTAAATTGTTGATGCTAATGGAAAAACTATGTATTTATCAACTTAATATTCTGTAATCATAAGCATAGATACTATGTACCAAGCACTGCTCTGAGTGTTTTGCTGTAACACATTTAATTCAGTAGAGGACAAATCTTAAGAGAGTGTCCTTCTGGTTCCTTAATCCTTAGAGTTCAATTCAGTAATCCTCCCACTGCAAATTCGCTTTGATTTCTTTCTTTCTTTCTTTTTTAGTGAAGAAGATTGGCCCTGAGCCAACGTCTGTTGCCAGTCTTCCTCTTTTTGCTTGAGGAAGTTTGTGCCTGAGCTAATAACATCTGTGGCAGTCTTCGTCTGTTTTGTATGTGGGATGCTGCCACAGCATGGCTCAATGAGTGGTGTAGGTCTGCATCTGAGATCTGAACCTGCTAAGCCCGGGCCACTGAAGCAGAGCGTGTGAACTTAACCACTGTGCCACCTGGCTAGCCCCCTGATTTCTTTTTAACTTTTTGGCAACAGTCATAATTTTTAGTTTCAGTCCACCAGTAGTCAGACTCCCAGGGGTTGACAAGAAAAGTGGGACTTGGGAGTTGAGAATAGAAAAGAGGTAAAATGTTTAAACTGACAGCACTTTTGCCATGAAATCTTTTTATAAAGGAAGATGAAGGACCTTTGAAACTCCTCTCCTGAGATAGGTTAGGAAAGTGGGTCTTAACTTCATAGGTGAGGGATCTTACAGCTGTCACAGCTAATGCAGACACTGGAGGGGAAGGTTTGAGAACTACCCAGTTGACTGAATTGATAGTTAAATGTAAATTATTTCACCTTTCTTCTGAGAGTTAACCTCCAACTCCTAGTAATTGAACACAGGGATGGAGGACCAAACCCAGTGGTAAAATACCACACTTAGTGTATCATCCACAAGTCAACAAGATTTGATAAGCATCTCATTGACCGCATAGGAGAAAAGAGATGGAAAGTTTCTGGGAAGCAAAAGATAGTAAGTGGTGTTCACCTACTTACTCATCCAGCAAAGTGTCGGATTCTAGCCAAAGTATTTTATTTTAGCTGAGCGTTTTTTCAAAAGCTCTTTAGAGAATTCAGTTGCAAACTCAGTAATCCTATTTTTCCCCGTAAGTAGTGCTGATATTGTGATCCCAGATTTCTCCTGTTCAGGGCAGTTTACAGGACCTTAACCTACAAGTTTGGAGGGCAGCTGTGCTCACCCTTAGGTTTTCAAGCTTGTAAACCTTGAATGCTTTTAGATTTACATATGGAACAAATCTAGCTCTAGTTCATAAAAACTACTTTGCAAGTAAAGGGATCCAAATCCCTTAAAAAGAATATGATTTCAACACGTTTCTAGGTGAAGTCGTGTTTGAACCGAAATTAAGTTGTACTTTTTAAAATCATCCATTAAAATATGATGGGCTGGAATGCAGGAAACGAATTATTAACATACTTTCGCAGTTCCATATGTTGAGAAGACAGTTGTTATGACCATAGGAATTTGATGGGATATAAAAGCACCAATGCTTGAACTTGGCACCACAGAAAGTAACGTCGTTTACTTTGAAATTCTGACCCCCTTTCCCACCTTGTCCCACTCTACTTTCCTGAGCCCAAAGTCTAATTGCACCAAAAAAAAAATATCCCCAGCCAAAAATGTAAGATTAATGTCTGAAGACTTAATTACGTAAGCCTTATTCTTTTTAGTTCATACTGTGTTTTTATTTTATGCATATAAAATAGGGAATATTTTCAAAATGTTTTATGTGGTCATGAAAAAGTGAACTATAACTAGCAGCTCCGAGGGGCTGTGTGTTCAGCATGGTCTAAGTGTTGACCACAGGGTGGTGCTCTAATCCCGCTTCACTGTTAAGTGGCAGGCAGAGTGCCATTACGGGGAGCACTGTGCTTTCTCCCTATACAGGAAAGATTATATACGGGGCATATGCTCTCAGTGAAACATGACTTTTCTGGGACCCTTACAGCTCTGATAGTCTTTGAATATGTCTGCAGAATATAGCTTACCCTCTCTCCTGATGCCAAGGAATGGATGTTCGAGCTCTTTTGTATTTACTGGAAAGAGGGAAAATTGCGGGGCTGACATAGATAAAACTTTTAAAAGACATTTCTTTGGCTCCTTCTTGCTATCTTTTCCTCCTGTTTCTCTCTGTGACGGGAGAAAATGCACTGCAGAGGCAAGGGAATCTTAGTGTCCACCTTGACACGTCGTAAAACCAGATGTGGATAGTCTCACAGTGGGGGCTCAGCTCACGACATTCCCCAGCTGAGGGATGCCCAGCTGGCAGCATGCCGCCCATGTCTGCACCCTAAACCTCACTTTGTAAAGCCCGCCATCGTTGTGCCCCAGGACCTGGAGCCACATGGCTCACAACGTTGGTTGGCTATCAGCGCTAGACAGCTATGGTTCTCTTTGTAGAACACCAAGAATGCTGATGAAATCCCAGCTTTCTTGGGATTCCAGGAGAAAACTCATTCAGTTAAGTCATAACCACAAGCACACGTGCTCCTGAAAAAAGCAGGCCGTTTCGGCGGCGGTGGCGTCTGCTTTCCACTAACACTCATTGTTCATGGTCATCGATAGTGTTTGTTAGTGCTCACTAACGACAGAAGAGTAAGAATTTTAAGAAATATTTCTGAGAAAGAATTGAGAAAATTAAAAACATTAACTACTTCCCCCTTCAACTGAGGAAGAACTCCATTATTTGATTATTCGCAGAATACCTTTTTACCACATCTGTTGTACATTAATTTGCAAAATGAATTAATGAGTTCTAATGAGTTTTGCAGGAGAGATGAATAAGGAGGTCATTGACAGCTAGAGAAGGATGTTTCTAGGCAGAGGAGGAAGGGTTTGCCTGACTGTCCAATGACACTCCCTCTACAGAAGTTACTGATACAGCGTCTCCACGGCAAGACAACATGTCCGTAAGGGCCAGGAGACGATACAGTTAATAAGACAAATACAGTCAAAAACCAGCTGACCATCCTCAGATTAACTGACGACAGTGATGCCCATGGGGCTCCTGACAGCCTGTCACTGGCACTCAGTTCTGGGTCCTGGGATCATTGTCTGGAAAGGACAGGCACAAAGGCCTTCCACCTTCTCTTTACCTTTGGTAGCTGGTAAACTACCAAACTTCAGATGAAGGAGGCATAGCACTAAGAAATTTAAAACTCACTGCCACCTTGCTACCTCATATTCAATCATTTAATCTGCAGAGACTAATGTACTTGACTATCATGTAAAACTGATTTCTCATTTAGCACATTTCTCCTATAAATCACAATATCAGCATCCCTTTTTCTTCAAGATTTGGGAGAGGGGTCAAGGGCAGTTTGGGGAATCTCAAGAGAAATGGCGTGTTAGAGCCAGTGGTGTCTTCCACTCTGGCCGCCCGAAGTGGACTCTCGGTAGGACACAGTGTCGTTCAGCATTCACAGGAGACCAAGGACATAGAAGTCATCCATCCACCAGCTTCTCTGGCTCGCCTCTCCCGGCAGTCACCACTGATCAGTCCTCAAGTGGCGCTTGCTCCTCTCCTGGCTCACAGCAAATCCCTCCCCTGCCTCTTGCGGGTTCTTAGACCCCTTAATATGGGGCTCATGTGGCATTCAGCTTTTCATTATCAGAAAAACAAAGACTTATGGTACAACAGCCACTTCCTTGTGTCTTTGTAAAGTTCTCTTATGATTGGCATTTTTTTCAGGTCACCTGTCATCAAAAGACTCAAAGGCCAATAAGACAAAGAGTTTTCACCTTATTTGGGTCAGTGCCTACTCTTTTTTTGCATTGTGTCTCAGACAGAATTCAAAGTCCTCATCTCATTAAGTGTCAAAAGAGTGACTACTTGTTCTTGGCCTCAGTGTTTCCATTGGTCTACCATTTAGTTTACAAAACTTGCAGCCTGTCTCCTGTCTAAACTCAGTGTGACATCTAATCTATATGATAAATTGTTGGTTCACACATGTCTACATAGCAAATAAAGATTCTGACACCCTGTTCCAACATGTGGGTTTTTTTCCTCACACCACCAATTCTTGGATACCAGATGGGTGTCCTACAATTCAACCCAATTCTGATGCTGAGGAGGGCTCAGGCCCACAAGACTGCCAATCCCAAATCCAGTTGGTGGTTTATGCTGCTGACCAACTGGCTATGAACCAGAGATGCCCACAACTCCCATCCTTGAGTTCAGTTAATTTGCTAGAGCAGCTCACAGAACTCAGAAACATCTTACTAGATCACTGGTTTATTATAAAAGGATATAACTTGGGAACAGCCAGATGGAAGAGATGCACAGGGCAAGGTCTGAGGAAAGGACATGAAGCTTCTGTGTCCTTTCGCAGCACACCACACTCCCCACGTCTGCCCTTATTCACCAACCCAGCTCTCGAAACCCTGTCCTTTTGGAGTTTTTACGGGGGTTGGGGGGGGGGCGGGGAGGGGGGGCTTCATTACATATGCAGGCTTGATTAAATCATTGGCCATTGATTCAACTTTCAGCCCCTCTCCCCTCCCCAGAGGTCAGGAGGATGGGACTGAAAGTTCCAACCCTCTAACCGCATGGTTGGTTCTCCTGTGGACCAGCCCCCATCCTTGGTGGGGGGGTGGTTCCAAAACTCACCTTATTAACATAACGAAAGACACATTTACCGTTCTCTTCACTTAGGAAATTCCAAGGGTTTTGGGAGTTCTGTGCCTGAAACTGGGATGAAGAC